CTTAATGAATCTTTATGAAATTTGGTAGACTTATTCTATATACAATTCCCTGAATAAAAAAAAGTATTGAGACAAAGAAAAAAGTATTGAAAAATATTGGATTCTTTTCAATATTTTTCTCTTTGTCTTAATACTTTTTTTTTTTAATCAGGGTTAGCTTGGATGAGTTCAAAAATGAGCTAAATCCCTCAAATAATTTAGAAATGGCAGCCAGAAATTTTCGAAAATCTAATAAATCACATGTTTGGTGACTTTACTAGGGAATAACTTTTTATTGAGAAATGATAGATCGTTTTTCTGCATTTCGTTTTAAACCTTATGAAATTCTCTTTAATTTAATCTATAACAAATTTACTTTTCATCAATTACTCCAAAAGTTTAAGAAGCTGAATGTCATCTGAATCAGTTTCAGACAAGCACACAACACAACGCGACTTGTGGATACGATTACTCCCAGAATTCTTAATGAATCTTTATGAAATTTGGTAGACTTATTCTATATACAATTCCCTGAATAAAAAAAAGTATTGAGACAAAGAAAAAAGTATTGAAAAATATTGGATTCTTTTCAATATTTTTCTCTTTGTCTTAATACTTTTTTTTTTTAATCAGGGTTAGCTTGGATGAGTTCAAAAATGAGCTAAATCCCTCAAATAATTTAGAAATGGCAGCCAGAAATTTTCGAAAATCTAATAAATCACATGTTTGGTGACTTTACTAGGGAATAACTTTTTATTGAGAAATGATAGATCGTTTTTCTGCATTTCGTTTTAAACCTTATGAAATTCTCTTTAATTTAATCTATAACAAATTTACTTTTCATCAATTACTCCAAAAGTTTAAGAAGCTGAATGTCATCTGAATCAGTTTCAGACAAGCACACAACACAACGCGACTTGTGGATACGATTACTCCCAGAATTCTTAATGAATCTTTATGAAATTTGGTAGACTTATTCTATATACAATTCCCTGAATAAAAAAAAGTATTGAGACAAAGAAAAAAGTATTGAAAAATATTGGATTCTTTTCAATATTTTTCTCTTTGTCTTAATACTTTTTTTTTTTAATCAGGGTTAGCTTGGATGAGTTCAAAAATGAGCTAAATCCCTCAAATAATTTAGAAATGGCAGCCAGAAATTTTCGAAAATCTAATAAATCACATGTTTGGTGACTTTACTAGGGAATAACTTTTTATTGAGAAATGATAGATCGTTTTTCTGCATTTCGTTTTAAACCTTATGAAATTCTCTTTAATTTAATCTATAACAAATTTACTTTTCATCAATTACTCCAAAAGTTTAAGAAGCTGAATGTCATCTGAATCAGTTTCAGACAAGCACACAACACAACGCGACTTGTGGATACGATTACTCCCAGAATTCTTAATGAATCTTTATGAAATTTGGTAGACTTATTCTATATACAATTCCCTGAATAAAAAAAAGTATTGAGACAAAGAAAAAAGTATTGAAAAATATTGGATTCTTTTCAATATTTTTCTCTTTGTCTTAATACTTTTTTTTTTTAATCAGGGTTAGCTTGGATGAGTTCAAAAATGAGCTAAATCCCTCAAATAATTTAGAAATGGCAGCCAGAAATTTTCGAAAATCTAATAAATCACATGTTTGGTGACTTTACTAGGGAATAACTTTTTATTGAGAAATGATAGATCGTTTTTCTGCATTTCGTTTTAAACCTTATGAAATTCTCTTTAATTTAATCTATAACAAATTTACTTTTCATCAATTACTCCAAAAGTTTAAGAAGCTGAATGTCATCTGAATCAGTTTCAGACAAGCACACAACACAACGCGACTTGTGGATACGATTACTCCCAGAATTCTTAATGAATCTTTATGAAATTTGGTAGACTTATTCTATATACAATTCCCTGAATAAAAAAAAGTATTGAGACAAAGAAAAAAGTATTGAAAAATATTGGATTCTTTTCAATATTTTTCTCTTTGTCTTAATACTTTTTTTTTTTAATCAGGGTTAGCTTGGATGAGTTCAAAAATGAGCTAAATCCCTCAAATAATTTAGAAATGGCAGCCAGAAATTTTCGAAAATCTAATAAATCACATGTTTGGTGACTTTACTAGGGAATAACTTTTTATTGAGAAATGATAGATCGTTTTTCTGCATTTCGTTTTAAACCTTATGAAATTCTCTTTAATTTAATCTATAACAAATTTACTTTTCATCAATTACTCCAAAAGTTTAAGAAGCTGAATGTCATCTGAATCAGTTTCAGACAAGCACACAACACAACGCGACTTGTGGATACGATTACTCCCAGAATTCTTAATGAATCTTTATGAAATTTGGTAGACTTATTCTATATACAATTCCCTGAATAAAAAAAAGTATTGAGACAAAGAAAAAAGTATTGAAAAATATTGGATTCTTTTCAATATTTTTCTCTTTGTCTTAATACTTTTTTTTTTTAATCAGGGTTAGCTTGGATGAGTTCAAAAATGAGCTAAATCCCTCAAATAATTTAGAAATGGCAGCCAGAAATTTTCGAAAATCTAATAAATCACATGTTTGGTGACTTTACTAGGGAATAACTTTTTATTGAGAAATGATAGATCGTTTTTCTGCATTTCGTTTTAAACCTTATGAAATTCTCTTTAATTTAATCTATAACAAATTTACTTTTCATCAATTACTCCAAAAGTTTAAGAAGCTGAATGTCATCTGAATCAGTTTCAGACAAGCACACAACACAACGCGACTTGTGGATACGATTACTCCCAGAATTCTTAATGAATCTTTATGAAATTTGGTAGACTTATTCTATATACAATTCCCTGAATAAAAAAAAGTATTGAGACAAAGAAAAAAGTATTGAAAAATATTGGATTCTTTTCAATATTTTTCTCTTTGTCTTAATACTTTTTTTTTTTAATCAGGGTTAGCTTGGATGAGTTCAAAAATGAGCTAAATCCCTCAAATAATTTAGAAATGGCAGCCAGAAATTTTCGAAAATCTAATAAATCACATGTTTGGTGACTTTACTAGGGAATAACTTTTTATTGAGAAATGATAGATCGTTTTTCTGCATTTCGTTTTAAACCTTATGAAATTCTCTTTAATTTAATCTATAACAAATTTACTTTTCATCAATTACTCCAAAAGTTTAAGAAGCTGAATGTCATCTGAATCAGTTTCAGACAAGCACACAACACAACGCGACTTGTGGATACGATTACTCCCAGAATTCTTAATGAATCTTTATGAAATTTGGTAGACTTATTCTATATACAATTCCCTGAATAAAAAAAAGTATTGAGACAAAGAAAAAAGTATTGAAAAATATTGGATTCTTTTCAATATTTTTCTCTTTGTCTTAATACTTTTTTTTTTTAATCAGGGTTAGCTTGGATGAGTTCAAAAATGAGCTAAATCCCTCAAATAATTTAGAAATGGCAGCCAGAAATTTTCGAAAATCTAATAAATCACATGTTTGGTGACTTTACTAGGGAATAACTTTTTATTGAGAAATGATAGATCGTTTTTCTGCATTTCGTTTTAAACCTTATGAAATTCTCTTTAATTTAATCTATAACAAATTTACTTTTCATCAATTACTCCAAAAGTTTAAGAAGCTGAATGTCATCTGAATCAGTTTTAGACAAGCACACAATACAACGCGACTTGTGGACACGATTACTCCCAGAATTTTTAATGAATCTTTATGAAATTTGGTAGACTTATTCTATATACAATTCCCTGAATAAAAAAAAGTATTGAGACAAAGAAAAAAGTATTGAAAAATATTGGATTCTTTTCAATATTTTTCTCTTTGTCTTAATACTTTTTTTTTTTAATCAGGGTTAGCTTGGATGAGTTCAAAAATGAGCTAAATCCCTCAAATAATTTAGAAATGGCAGCCAGAAATTTTCGAAAATCTAATAAATCACATGTTTGGTGACTTTACTAGGGAATAACTTTTTATTGAGAAATGATAGATCGTTTTTCTGCATTTCGTTTTAAACCTTATGAAATTCTCTTTAATTTAATCTATAACAAATTTACTTTTCATCAATTACTCTAAAAGTTTAAGAAGCTGAATGTCATTTGAATCAGTTTCAGACAAGCACACAACACAATGCGACTTGTGGACACGATTACTCCCAGAATTTTTAATGAATCTTTATGAAATTTGGTAGACTTATTCTACATAGAATTAGCTTGGATGAGTTCAAAAATGAGCTGAATCCATCAAACATAGTTTAGAAATGGCAGCCGTTTAAAATTTTCGAAAATCTAAAAAATCACATGTTTGGTGACTTTACTAGGGAATAACTTTTCATTGAGAAATGATAGATCGTTTTCCTGCATTTTGTTTCAGAGCTTATGAAATTCTCTTTAATTTAACCTATAAAAAATTTACTTTTCATCAATTACTCCAAAAGTTTAAGAAGCTGAATGTCATCTGAATCAGTTTCAGACAAGCACACAACACAACGCGACTTGTGGACACGATTACTCCCAAAATTCTTAATGAATCTTTATGAAATTTGGTAGACTTATTCTATATACAATTAGCTTGGATGAGTTCAAAAATGAGCTAAATCCCTCAAATAGTTTAGAAATGGTAGCCATTTGAAATTTTCGAACATCTAATAAATCACTGTATTTTAAAATTTGGCAGCCGATTTACTTTTCTGATAAACTTGAGGAATAATAATTATTCATAATATCGTAATTCAAATCATGGATTACATGAAATCTACCTTCCATCTTGGCTGGTGCCAAATGGCCTTTTTTTTTCAATTATTCTTTTTCACTGTTTCTTTCAATTTTTAATAAATATATTATTATTATAATTAGAGAATTCTTTTTTCTAAGATTGGATCTGTATCATATTTTGCTTATGTTACGCGTTAAATTAACTTTGGTTGATACTTGTATGTTATTACGTATTTTGTGTTATTTTGAACTAATTTTTTAACGACATCCGACACATTATTAATTTATTTGTTATGCACAATGGATAAGGAAGTTTATTTAATTGGAGTTCTGTCAGACGGTATTGTTGGACGCAAACTTCCCAATTTTAAGGAGACTTTGGCATTGTTTTTTTATCATCACAAAGTTTTAAAGTTTGACTTAAAACAAAGTGCTTCTTTGACAGTAAATAAAGTTGCAGAACAATGGAAGAAAGCTCAAATCCCGGTTTGTACTACTCAAAATTCTGTCCAGAAGCTTTTAGGAATGTTTAAAAAATGGAAAAATTTACAACGTAGTTCCCAACGCAAAAAATCCCCTACTCAAATTAAAAAAGAAAATGATTTTAAAATTAAACTAAAAGGTATATTTGACGTTGCTCATAAATTTGCTCTAAAAAATATTAGTGAGGAGCAGAAGGAATTTTTAAAAGCACAAAGATCGCCAAGTCGACGTGGTTTTTTTGATGAAAGTTCTCAAGACTTGAATGAAAATTGTAATGAAAGGATGGAACTAGACGATAAAAGTATGTATTAAACCTAAATATAAAATAACAAATTTATATTATGATACTTTAAATTCATGATAGTGAATTTAGCAGACAGCTAATTATTGAGAATTTTTAGATTAATTTTAACTTAATGGTTGTAAAAAATCTAAAAAATTGCATAGAAAAAACTTGTGAAAATTTCCGTATGCATTTTTTTATACTATTTCTTCTATAAAAAATAAATTGTGTATAAATGATTAAAAAATTATCAAATGTCTACTAAATTCACACTCATTTAAATTCTTTGATTTTCAAATCAATTTATTCATTATTTTGATCATCTTCAATTAGATATTGATCATTGATAAATAGAGTAAAATATGAAAAGTTTTCTTCAGATCGATCTCATTTCATAGTAAACTTTTTTATACATTAATGCAATTACTTTCTATAAATTTAGATACAGTTCTCAGAAAAATCAAAAAAACAGTTTAATTTCAAATTTTTTTAACAAGTTTTTAAAAATAAATGATTTGATGAAAAGATTTATCAAAATTATTCAAAGCTATTGTCACTGTTTCTTTTTAATGTTTGAAAAATATTTAAAGCTCCTCGAGGATTACTATTTTCAATTAATTTTTTTTTCTTATCATAAAAAACATCGACTTTTTCTGTGTATCCTTAAATTTTTTAAAAGAAAGTTATCTTTTTATTTTCAATTTTTTTTTTAATTCTGAAACAACTTTTTTAAAATTAAACTTATTGTACATACTGAAATTTTGAAAATTGTTGAGAATTTATGTTCAAAATTACCTCAAAATTAAAAATAAAACTACATCATCAATAAAATAAAACTTGCAACGTTACGATAAATTTCAGATCCTGACGAGCTTTCAGACACGTGCACCATTACACTAAGTCAAGGTCTACCGTTATCGCAATCAACGATAAGTCAAACGTCAACTAATTCTTATTTTGAAGCTGAACTTTTGAAGTCAGCAGAGACTCCGAAAATTAATATTATGACACCAGAACTTGTTGCTGCGTTAGATCGCGCAAATGTAAGTAGCAGAAATGCTACTTATATTTTAGCTGCTGCTTTGAAGGGTGCTGGAATTGATCTTCATAATGTTAATTTAAGCTACAGTACTATTCATCGAAAACGTATACTTTTAAGAGAGGATATTGCTAAAAAATTAAAAGAAAATTTGAAATTAAACGATAACTACGTTGTTCATTGGGATGGTAAAATCCTTAGTGATATTGTTGGGTCTGATTCTGTGGATAGACTGCCGGTTGTTCTTACATCATCTGGTGAAGAACAATTGCTTGGAGTTTCAAAAATAAGTTCTGGAACTGGAATCGATCAAACATCGGCTGTTTATTCAACACTTAACGATTGGGGTGTTTGTCGTTATGTAAAAGCAATGTGCTTCGATACCGCCCCTACTAATACAGGTAAATCTTTCTAATAATCTTAAAATATCAATTCCTCATTCTTACATTCTGACAGGGTACAATTGGACAGGGAATTGCGTAAACTATGAACTTTTTTAAAAAATTTGATTGAATCTGAATTGCCATTTTCCATTTTTAGTCTGGTATCTGTAAAATAGATCATTAAAGTAGTCATATTTACACAAAAAGAAAAATTTCTTGGTTAAAGAACTAAATTCTCTTGGCTCAATAAAATGTTTTTAAAAGTTAAAATATCTTGGGTAAAGTGGAAATTTCTTGAGTCAAGAAAATTTTTTTTTCTCAAAAAAGTTTTTTCTTTGCTCCAAAACAAATTAAGTCTTTAATAACAAATTTTTTTGCCTCAAGTTAATCTTTTTTTCTGTGTATTTAAAAACAAGAAATGATAAAGATATTTTTTTTATTTAATTAAGTTTTCGTAAATAATTTTAAAATAAAAAAATTAGTTTACTTTTATCTCTAATTTCAATTTTATGATTCAATTTTTTTTTAGGTGTTCATCACGATGCAGGCGTCGAATTAGAGAAAGTTTTAGGCCGTGAGTTAATTTGGTTACCATGTCGTCACCATATATTTGAAATCATTCTGAAGAGTGTTTTCGAAGCATATTGGCCCACTCAATCGGGTCCAAATGTGCAACTCTTTAATAGATTTAAAGTTTCGTGGGATGCAATTAACAAACTAAATTACAAGAGTGGTACAGAAGATGATACGGTTGCTAACATTTTGAAAGATCAAACTAATCATATATTAGTTTTCATAGAAGATTACATGCAGGTACGGTTTAAGCTCATTTCAATACCTCTCTGAAGACAGTTGAACCAAAAAAAAAATTCTTGAACCAAGAACGTTTGAAGGAAAACCGAAATTATCTTGAACCAAAAAAAAAGTTTTCGGCCTAAGAAAAAAATTCTTGACCCAAAAACTTTTCTCTTGGTTTAAGATTATTTCGGTTTTCCTTCAAACTTTCCTGGTTCAAGAATTTGTTTATTGATTCAAGTAAACCTTTTTTTCTGTGTATTTATCCGTTTGAAAATTATACGAAAATTTTTCATGTGAGTGCTTCAATGAATTTATAAGCTTCAATTAAGTTATGGTATAAATTTAACTTGTTTTCAGAAATATCATCCAAGAAGTGATTATGAAGAATTTTTGGAACTCTCATTAATTTTTTTGGGAGCTACCCCAAAAGAAAAGGTTTCGTTCAAGCGCCCAGGAGCTATGAGTCACGCTCGTCGGATGGCAAAGGCAATTTATTGTCTGAAAATATTCATTTTAGAGACGAGTTCAAACTTAATGATTATGAAAAAAAAGCCTTCAAGAAGTATGCTTATTCATTACTACAAATTACATAAAAGCATGGTTTTCTTCACCGTCTGCTATTCTTGCTCCAAATCATGATCTTACTTTTTTGCAAAAATTAATTCGATACGAAGCCGTTAATTCTAAAATATCAAAAGCTGCTACTGTAAAAATGATTAATCATCTATGGTATTTAACTGAAGAGCTAGCTATAATTTCCTTGTTTGATGATGAAGTAGAAGTTGAAGTGAAAAAAAAAATGATTGTAAATATTAACTGTCGGAAAGGAAAGAAAGTTAAGGCAAGGAAATTTGGAGTAAAAAAAGATAATTTAAATGCAATATTAGACAAAGATATGAGTGACTTTGTGTCGATAGATTCTCTATCTATTTTCAAAGATTTTGATTTGCCTTACGACTTCATTGAGAAAGATGTAAATTCTTGGGCTAGTGATGGAAGTTTTAAAGAGTGTGTGCAATTTTTTACAAAATTAACAGTCGTGAATGATGTGGCGGAGCGTGTTGTAGCATTAATTGAACAATACAATAAGTGTTTCACTAAAAATGAAGAGCAATTTGTGACAGGGAAAATCGAACTTCCCGGGGTCACTTTCGACCCCAATAATTGACGCACGGTAGGTAAGGGCTTTCCCTTACCGTTCGATTTTTTTTTGACAAGAATTTCGACTTGTCACCGGGCGTGCAAATCACAGGTCCCTACTACTGTCCCCGAAAAACGAAGCGAGATGTAACGATAGGAAAGTTCGAGAGCCCGAGTGCGGGGTTATAAAAAAGCGTGCACGAAAATGATCGAGGCTTTTTCCTTTTTCCTCTGGAAGCCAGTGGCCTGTTGCCTTTTGTATATCAGTGACCTTTTTTTAAAGACCAGTTTAAATTAGACAGTGCAGTCTTGGTAATTAAGAAGCAACTACGGAGGAGTTTTATCATGTTGTTTGGAAGTGGACAAGCCCTGATCGGGGGCCAGCATCGTGGGTTAAGACGACAAGACGCCAAGCAGCTGAGCCAGCCAAGTTGGACCGGAGTATCAATCGTCGTTGGTTAACAAAAGTTGAGTTACCAGGTATTTTTGAGTATTTTAGGCCAGAATTGATTAATTATTTAATTAAGAGGCTGAAATAATTAAAGTAAATTTCTCGAGCGGTCATTGCTACATTGGCAAGTTTGGTGCTTTGGAGATTTGTGCGTCAAGGTCATTTGGTTTGTTTTCGTTACTAGATATTTATCTTTAGAGAATGAAATTAATAGATTATTTGTGAATTTATGGTAGATAATTGAATCATTAATTTATTATAGGCCTGTTGGCTATAATAAATTAATTTAGTTAATAATTTCAAGATATAAAGAAAAGTGAATTTGTATAGTAAAGGAAAATGTGTAATTAAGTCAGTAAAGGTCATTCTAGTATGTTCTATAGTTGAAAATTTTGTATTGAGACGCTAAGATATTAACAGTTGATGTTTAGAGTTTTGTTTAGAAAAGATTTAATTTAGTAAATTTTGTTACGAGTTCAGTAGAATTTATTAATTGAAAATATTAGCAGAAAATTTAGTAAGTGAACTAGTACAGAAATTTAGTGATTATTTAATGTAGTTGAATTTATTTGCAGTAAATGAGTGTTGAAGTGAAATTAAGTAGATTATGATAGTATTGTAAGTTTTCGAAAGTTTAATTTAGGCCGGTGGATAATGTAATTGAATTGTTAATTTAGAAAAGGTGCATAATGAATTTATTAATAAATTGGTTGAGTTTAAAGATAATTTATTAGAAAATCTCGATAAAGTAATTCGGTGAATTTAGTAAATTTAGTAAATCTGAAAATTGGATTTTATTTATGAATAATTGTTGAGAGGTTATTTAAGAAGATTTAAGAAATGGATTTAGATAATAAGAAATTTATGAGTAATTAAATTTAGTAAACCAAAATATGTGAAGAGTTTTGTTGAAGAATTGTGAATTATGATAGGATTAAAATTTGGAATTTTAGTTCAGTAGTGATTTAGATAAATAAATAAGAATTAAGAATGAATATGAATTTGCAAGCTTTTTATGAAATTTGGAAATTTTATATTGTCAGTTATTCCGTCAAATAACGAGGGTTTTAAGTAATTAAGGAGTAGAAGATAGACGCGTAATGGTCTATATTTGAGTTAAAATTTAAGAATCTAGATGCGTAATGGTCTATGATTGAATTAGGAATTTAAAGATAGATGCGTAATGGTCTATGATTGAATTAGGAATTTAAAGATAGATGCGTAATGGTCTATAATTGAGTTAAGAAATTAAGAAGATAGATGCGTAATGATCTATGTTTAAAAGAATTTAATGATATTTAGTTTATAAGGATTTTTGGCAAGTGCCTGTTGAGAAAGCGTTTCTCGGAAATTTTGTATTAAAATTTTAACTGTAAAACTGTCTCGTTATTTTGTTAATTCTTAAGGTTTATTTTTTATTGTTTAATAAATTCGATTAACTAGATAAAATTGTCCTCAGTATTTATTTTCAGCCTATCTCAACTTCTCACGACCCGACTTTCCTGCTCGTGCTCTTCCGGTTTCTGGGACACCGCGAAAATAATCCCAGTGGCGCCCTTTTCATAAGGAAAGGGGTGACCAATTGAACAGGGTTAACCACCCCGTTACAAATTACAATACTTATTGCTAGTTATTAGTGAATACAGAAAAAAAGTGCCCAATTGTAATAGAAATTTTTTAGTGTAACGATATAAATTGATTTTATTATAATAAACATTCAAATTTTAAGTTAAAACTTTATTTGTTTAATATGATAATTAATTTTAAGAATAAAAATGACAACTTTTTAAAAAAATTTTTGGCTTTTTGCAAATAACTTACAATCTGTAAAAAATATTTTAATTTTTTGAGAGATAAGTTATAGAAAATCGAATGTTCTACAAAAAAGTCCTATTAAATTTTCTCATAAAGTTGATGGTTGCGTCGGAAAATTATAAAAATGTAAAAATTTTGAATCAATTCATCTTTAGCGTTGAATAACTTTTGAAAAAGTGAATATATCAAAAAATTATAAGAGACCTTTTTTGTAGAGCGTTCAATTCTCTACAAGAATATGTTCTGACTTAACCAATCCGATGACTTGTTAAAGAGTTACAAAATTCCAAAGTAAGAAAAAAAATTTTCCCACGTTAATTAAATGGGAAATTGAAATTTTCCACTCGGCACCTCTTAATATTAATATTAAAAGCTCTAACTTTCACAGGATTTTTTTTTCGTCATTTCTGACAATATTTTCAATATTAAAAAGAAAAAAAAATAGTCAGTTTTTTTGAATCAGTCTAATATACATATATTAGCTATCATAATTGAAGCCTGAATAAGATTTGAATTCAAATTAAAAAACTAGCATGAAATTTCAACAATAGTACGTTATTTTGATATTTTGGCTTCTTTAATAGATTATCGCTACAAGAAATTAAAAACTATGTATCTATTAAAAATATAAAGTATTCATAAAAAGTATAATATTAAGTATATAATATAAAAATATATAACGTATGTATAATTGTCGATAATGAAAAAAAAATTTTTATTTTGTGCGTTTTTTTAAAGAATATGGTTATTAATTTGTTATTATGGTTATTAATGAAATAGCGTAGACGTACTGTTTTTGGCCATATCAGGACCATTCTTGGCCGCATGATATTTTAATTAATGTGTAAAAAATTTAATTATTCAAGTTGAATTTTCAAAGAATTAATGCTCATTGTAATGGTCTTTTGTATTCAACTTTAACAATTCTTTTATTTTTCAGTCCATTTTTGTCAGAACAACATGACAAGCCTATTTTTATATCAAGGTCACCAATTAAATTTAGATGGACGTCACAACGTCAACGGTAACCAACGTTATCGTTGTTTGTATTTTGATAGCGTTCGTCGATGTCCAGTTAAATTATGGCGATTGTCTAATGGTCGCATGTTACAAATAGGCCAGCACAACCATATGGTTCATCAGATTCAACCTAATCCTCCTCAAAGAAGACCTGCCCCGAGAGTACCTAATGCTAATCGACGGCAACCAGCCCACCGTCAATCGCTTCCTCCAACACCTTCAACCTTTGAGGAACTTGAAGAAATTCTGTTGGTTTTACGTGCTGCTGATAATATATACCAAGGTCATGTAAAAGACAATTCTTCAATGGCATATATATTCAGCAATGATCGCAGTTTGAAACTGCTCAGTGAATCTTCCGAGTGGCACATCAATATGTGCTTTCAGTGTGCGCCACTCATGCCCCAGTGCAGTTTTTTGCTAACTATTTTATTGCGGCGAGAAAATTTGGTAAATCTATTTATTTGCTAAAAATTAATATCTATTTATTTCCGCGAATAAGTTTTTCATTGATATTTTATTAATAGGGTGTTCCTGTTTTTTACGCATTATGTAACGAAAACACGTCAAAATTATTTGGGTTAATCTGGGCGTGGATTCTGGAAAAAGTCCCGGATACACGGAACAATCTAAAATACACAATTTCAGTAAAATATATGAAAAAATGTTAACTATGAGCGCAGTATTTTTTTTAACTTCCCGCTAAGAAAATTGAAAATTTCCAAAAGTCGGGAAGTTATTAATTTTACCCCGTTTTTCAAAAATCGAGTTTTCAACGTATGTTGACGTTTTGAGGTCCTAGGAAGCCTCCCCGAATGCTTCCGCGGTGATGTCCGTATGTGTGTGTGTGTGTGTGTGTGTGTTTTGTTTTTTTTTTTTTTTCCTTAGGGGGGGGAATCCTTTTTACGGATTCTAGGCATAGATGTTGGCCTGGATATGTGGCGACTCGACGCAGCGTCATACTAAAACTCGACGCTGACGCCCCTACCCACTAAACCCTAAATCCCTTTCTCTTCTATCCTCTGATCCCCCATGGTACCGCCGTAAGGCATTTCTTCGCGGGGGGAGGAATTAGCTGCCGCTCTTCCTTCTGGTGGCTAAGATGTTATCTTCCTTCTAGATTCTGTCTTTTGCTCTTTTTCTCTCGATGGAACACAGCTCTGTTAGCACTTCTGTGGCAAAAGTGTTCGTTGCGTTCCAGGCAGCTTCTGAAGACAGCATTGCTTCTACGACTGACTCTGGTTGAATTCTCTTCTTCAGGATCCTCTCCAGCTCCTCACGTTGTTGATTGAAACGCGAGCACTCGAAAAAAACGTGCTCTGCATCTTCAGTGGCTCCAGGGCAGGACGGGCACTCCGGAGAATCGTCATGCTTAAAGCGGTGGAGATAAGCCCGAAAGCAGCCATGTCCTGACAACATCTGTGTTAGGTAGTAGTTGACCTCACCGTGATTCCGGTTCAGCCAAATGTCGATCTTTGGTATGAGACGATGCGTCCATCTACCCTTCTCTGCGGCATCCCATTGAGATTGCCATCGTGCGATGCTGTGCTGTTTTTGTTCCGTTCTGAGTTCTTCTGCGCTCAGTGTTGTTGACCTCTTTTGTTGGTAAAGGTTCCTTCTTTCTTTAGCTAGGACTTTGAGAGGTAGAGTTCCAGAAATGACGCACACTGCTTCCTCAGATATTGTGCGGAAGGCGCAAGCTACTCTTAGGGCATTCAGACGATATACTGGTCCAGCCTTTCTCCATGCTTCTTGTAATTCTAGCGCATCGGCCCAAATAGATATTCCGTAAGTGAGCACCGATGTGACTACTGATGACAGTAATAACCTCCTGCTCTGCTTTGGGCCTCCGACGTTAGGCATCAATCGTGCGAGGCTTGCCCTTACTACTGACGCTTTGGCACTGACGTATTCCACTTGCTGTTTAAAGTTGAGACGGGCATCAAGCATCACTCCCAAATATCGGATATAAAGTTGTGATGTGATTTCTTGTTCGCCGACTTTCAGCTTAATGGTCTCTTCCACTTTTCTGCTAGTAATAAGCACTGCCTCAGTCTTATGGTGCGCCAGTTGCAGGTTCACTGCGTCCATCCACCGGTTGACGCGCTCAAAAGTGAGATCGAACATATGTTTTATCTCGTCAACGTGTTTAGCAACGATCACTACGGCTACGTCATCTGCATATGCTACGAGTTTGACATTTCTTGGCAGAGTTAGTCTTAATAGACCGTCATACATAATATTCCACAGGAGCGGGCCTAGAACTGAGCCTTGTGGCACACCTCCAGTGATATCATACTCCCTCGGACCGTTCTTCGTGTCATACTTCAGGACCCTGTTTTCAAAGTAGTTTGCTACGATCTTAAGAAGGTATTCTGGTACATTCTTCTCTTGGAGGGCCTGCATGATGCATTCCCAATTGGCAGAGTTGAAGGCGTTTCTGATGTCTAGGGTCACTACCAGGCAATACTTCTTCGTTCCACCCTTCCATCTGGTTCCTGCGATTGCTTCCTTGGCCGTGTCAACAACCAGTTTGATTGCGTCCAGGGTTGATCGTCCTTTCCGGAATCCATACTGATTGTCTGCCAGGAGTGGGTCGACTACTGCCTCAATTCTCTGGTGAATTATACGTTCAAATATCTTACCCGCTGTATCCAGCATGCAGAGTGGGCGGTAAGATGACGGTTCATCCGGTGGTTTCTTCCCTTTAGGTAACAGTACCAATCGTTGCTGTTTCCACTTATGCGGGAAAGTCCCCTCCTTAAGGCATGCATTATAAGCGTCTTGGAATAATGTTGGAGCTGCCTTTATGATGGTTTTCAAGGCTATATTAGGGATTCCGTCCAATCTCGGCGCTTTATTATTCCCTACCCGGTTACTGGCCTCCAGTAGTTCTTCTTCAGTGACAGGTGGAGTGTCATTCAGTTCACCTGGCGCCAACTGGTAGTCGAAGTTGCGTTGCTGTGGGAACAGTGCGGTGACGATTTTCTGGAGAAGTTGAGGACACGTAGGTGATGGCATTTGTTGTTTTTTTAGGTGGGTCATAACTATCTTATAAGGCCTTCCCCAAATGTCTTTATCCACCTCGTTGATGAGCTCTTTCCAGCATTGTCTCTTACTATCCTTGATGGCTTTATTCAATGATCGACGGGCTTTTTTGTATTCTGCGATCAGCTCCGCAGAGTTAGGTCGTCGATAGCCACGCTGGGATATTCTTCTTTTCTTTAGACACTCTTTTCGAAGAACACTGATGTGGTCGTTCCACCAGTGTACTGCCGGGCGTTGGCTTATGCTGTGTTTCCGGACCATACTGGCGTCACCGGCCTGCACAACTCTTTTCATCAGGTCCTTGGTCATTTCTTCTGGGGATCCAGCAGTAATCGGTTCACTATCAAGGGCTATGTCATATTTCAGGAGCCTGTTCGTGAAGTAGCTCGCTAGTATTCTGTGTGTGTGTGTGTGTGTGTGTGTGTGTGTGTGTGTGTGTGTGTGTGTGTGTGTG